AGAATTTATTAAAATTTAATTGGATTAAATTCTAAAATATCACAAAATTCACGTGATAAACTCGAATTATTAAAACCAGTTCCAACCTCTACAATGAACATATAATTAGGTCTAAATATATAAATTTCAGGTTTATTCTAAAAGTATTTTTTTTAATTTCATATTAATAACAATCCTAAACATAAAGATAAACAATTCTATTAGTATCCTATTCTTGGCAAATTTTGATAAATTGAAGGTTTTATTACTATGAGAAAAAATGCAAGTTCATAAATCTAAGGTGCTCTAATTTTCAGATTTTAAAACAAATAACAGATCAAGTAATTCTTGCACCTAGTATGTTACTGATAGGTTTAAACTCAAGATAATTTTATAATTTTTTTTTATTTAACTAGTTCAAACCTGAAATTATGACTATAGTACTTAAATATGTAAAATACTATTTTAAAAAAGTTTTAAAAATTAAAAGGCTATATAAAATTCAGTATATTAACTTAGATTAATAAAAAAAAAAAAAACTACCTGACCGAAACTTCGAATGCAAAACAAAAAATTAGATTTTTTGTAGCCTAAAATAATAGATAACTTGAAACTTATTTAAATAAATAAAATTAAGGATTTTAAATCAGATATTCAATTCAACTTATGTTTTATATTTAAAAAATCAAACTTAAATATAAATATATCTTTTAAATTCAAATTCAATTAGCAAAATGATTTAATTTTAGGTTTATATAATTTAGCGCATGTGTATTGTAACATATCCACCTGATCGACCAATCAAATCGTAAGATCAGGTATAACGTGAAATCGAAAAAAATAGTGATATTTTGAAAAAATCGCTTGTAACTCATAATTTTGCTTATGAAACTGCCTTTTGCGTTATAACAAAAAAAATTTCTTGCAAAATTTTGGATATAATTAGTTTTAACTGCAATCTAACTTAACTCTAAATTAGTGCTAACCCTTACCCTAAAATTAATGTATTGATAGTTTGTTTTAATTTTACATTACACCAGATCTTATAGGGTGCGCAAAACACATTCGCGCAAAAAGATAAAAATCTTAATTTTATTGCATTATTATCAAATTGTACATAAAAGTTGCTAAAATTACAAATTTCTATTTTCACCAACTTATAAAACCCATCCAAATTTTGTTGCCATATCTAGCCAGTTTCATTGACATATCAGCGCAGTTACTGTTTCTGGATCTAAGAAAGTGTGATAATAATATGACTAGCACAACTAAACATTTGTTCAGACGCTACACTTGTGCTGGTATAGCAAGAAAATTGGGTGCTATTTTAACTAAAGTTGAAAAATAGTTATTATTCTTTTACCAATCAAGAACATGAGTACTTCCGCCAGCAACTTGTCCATCAAAATATTGCTTAACTTTACAAAAAACATCCTGTTAGTCATCTTGTTTTTTTTTTTATTACATATTCATAGTAATCATCAATATAATCCTTATATAAAGTATTATTTTCTACACAAGTAATATTTTCAATATTTGTTAAATTTTGTTTCAGAGAGAAATAATAATTATGATATATATCTTCAAAACTAAATAATTAAAAGATTATAAATACGAATTATTAGCAAATTAATAAAAAAATAATATAATTTACCTTGCTCGAATATTCTGTACTTTTTTTTCAACATTATTCAATTCTTGTCCTTCTTTTTTACAATAATAAAAAGATACAAATTGTAATTTATAGTGGGGGTTGAGAATACATGAAATCATATATAGCAAGCTACTATTTTCCTAATATTTTTTAAACTTATCAACCATTGGCGAGCTAATTTCACAGATAAAACCGTTCGAATGAGATTTTATTTTAGAAAGATAGGTATGAATATTCATAATAGAGAAAAGTGTATTATTAATCATTGAGTAAAAATTCACTGATATTTTTAAAGTATCTATTTGTATTAAAAATCATAAAAAAAATATGATACAAAAGTTAACTCTATATAGTCAAGTTATTCGAATACAAAATCTGAACTCAAGTCCGTTTATTAATACTTATATTTATAAAACAGTTCTAAAATGCTATAAATAATTTCTGCTTTCTCCCATTCTTCTTCATTAGGTATATCTGGAAAAGTTTTGTCTTTGTTTTTTATTCTCATAATTACAATTTTTAACTCTATTGCTGATTTTAACATTAACAATATTGAATTTCAGCATGTTTTACAATCTAATAGCGGGATCACAGCTCTTACAGATTCATATTCACAGGCATTAACAAATATTTGACACCACTTTGATAATGTATGTATTGCCTTGACACAACTACAAATCTATTACAAGTGTATTAAATTATTTCATATATGCAAAATAAATCTTGTTTATATAAATGCATAAATAAATACTATTTTGATTTTTTCTGAAAATTTTTTTAATCTATCCTAATATTATTACTGTGATATACAAAAAAATATGGCTCATATCTAGAACAACACAACACAACTCTATCTTTTTGCCGCCCCCTCCACTACAACCTCCTGTAATGCATAAAACTGAACCACTTACATCTATATTCATATATAATAAAATCTACCAATACATAACACACAGACAGTCTT